TTGTGAAAGCTTCAGGTGCCACCAAGGGCATCGGTAACTGATTCCTCTATAACTCCTAGTTAGTTCCTGGTGAAAAAGCAAAGCTCAGTGCCTAGTGATCAGTGAAGTGGATTCTCCGGGCGCAGAGAGAAGTGCACCTGACCTCTGCTCTGCACAGGCTGGCGAGAACATCTGGGCTCCTAGGTTTCTACAAACTTGGCCTCTGAGATTAGTGGGTTTCATTGTGCTGGACCCCAGGCGGGTATGAAAGTGGAGCTCTGCCAGCCTCTGAAACTCTAGAGGGTCCCTTCACTGTACAGACATCACCAGTGGTGCTGTCACCTCCTCAACGACCTGGACCTCAGAGAAGTTAGTCCAGATTGCAGTAATGGCAGGTTGAAGAGAAGCTTGGGAACTGATTGGTAACTCTGCTGGAGACCGTTAATCTGGTAAATGATTAGAGACTGACCAAAGGCCATAAACCGGGATGCTGAGAGAATGTCTGCTTCAAGCTCACCTCACTTCTGGAAATTCAGTGGGGGGTGGGAAGGTAATCTCGCCTCCCACACATAGGGAAAAGCTAGCCCAGGTAAGGTGGGGCCAGCTTGCCATCCCCTTAGAGGCCAGAGCTCTTAAAAGTCCCCTTCAGCTACATCCTAAATTCAAGGATAGCCTGGAACATAGCAAAACCCTGTCTCAAAACAAAGAGCTAAGAAGAGCTGACTGCAGAATTGTTTAACCAATCTAAACCAGTCAAAACCAGTAAGCCTACCGATCAATAAAAAGTACTTAACCAATAAGCAGACAGCTTAACATACAGCTCAAAGTATTTGTGTAGCTTGTTCAAGGGTCTGGCTTTGAATGCTGGAGCTGTAAGTTCATTTACGAATGAATGACTAGTTATCTGCTAAACATCTGATTATGAAAACAATCCATTTTCCAGAGAACAGACAGAAAACAATTCTTCTATTAAATGGAGAACTGAGGCTATAAAGTACAGGGAGATGACTCAGCCAAAGAGCAAACCTGCCAGCCTGAGTGCAAGCCCCATAACCTACGTAAAAGAGGAGGAGGAAACAGACAACGGAAAAAAAGCATTCGTGTAGCCATGCTTAGCCCTCAGGTCCAGGATGCCTGCGTGTCACTCCCAAGTGTCTGACCCAACAGATCCAAGCAGCCACCTTGTGCTCCAGGCTCCTGAGCGGTGGGCACCATCCCAGATCTCCTAAGAGGAAGGTTAACCTGAAGTCACAGCAAATGTCAGCTACTGGTATCCGGAAGAGTGGGTGCAGGACTATATAAACAAACAGGACACAGTCCTGCAAGCTTTTTGTTTCGTCTGGGATTTTGTTGTTGTTGTTGTTGTTTTGAGTCAGTACCTCGATATGTAGCCCTGGATGTCTTGGAACTTGCTCTGTAGACCAGACTGGCCTCAAACTCACAGAAATCCACCTGCCTCTGCCTCCCAAGGGCTGAGACTGAAGGCGTGTGCCACCACTCAGGCTGTTCTGAGCTAGGAGCTCTTGCAGACCAGGCTGGCCACAAACTCCCTGTGCAGCTGAGGAAGGTCTTGAGTCCAGGATCTTCTTGCCTCTATCTCCTAAATATGCTCTACCACACTGGCTTTTTTTTTTTTTACTTTATTTTTAAATTTTATTTTGTATCTATGTGTCTATGTAAGCATCCTGTGTGAGGAGGAAGGGAGGACAACTCGTCAGTTCTCTGCTTCCAAAAAGGGAATCTTTGGGATCAAACACAGGTCAGCAGGCTCGAGGGCTAAGGTCTATCCACAGAGACATCTTGCTCTCTCTCACACACATTTACACACACATACACACCACACCACACACATACTCACACACCCACACACCCCCACACACACCCACACACACATACCACACACATTCACTCTCATACATGCTCAATTACACACACACACACACATGCTCACACACTCACACACACACTCATTCATACACTGACTCTCACACACTCACACATGCTCACATTCACACTCACAGGCACACACACACACACACACACACTTTTTGAAGTGGTTTCTTGCTAGATAGTTGGTTCTATCCTCTAATATGTAATCCTCCTGCCTCAACTCCCAAATGCTGAGATTAAGGGCTTGTGTTACCACACTGAACTACATATTCCTTCAAAATAATGGTAGCTATAATACACGAAAGAAGAGATGGCATCACAAGGCCACATATGACAATTCCACAAATATGTATCTGCTGACGTTTTTTCCATTGTGTCTAGAGATTCCACAATGTTCTTAAATGCCAGTCTAATTTAACTGCAGAATGCTTCGACAAACAGCGTCTGTCTGCAGATTCTCCTGACAGAGCCTCCGACTGCCAGGCCTGTGGTTAAGAGCACTGGCTGCTCTTGTGGAGGAGCTGGGCTCACTTCCCAGCACCCACGGGGCTCAGTCTGTGACTTCTGTTCCAAGGATCCAATACCTTCTTCTGACCTCACTGGGCGCCAGGAACACAGGTAGGCAAAATACTCTTACACACACACACACACAGAGTTTTGAAACGAAGGCTTCTCTGTGTAGCCCTGGCTGCCCAGGAACTCATGCTATAGACCAGGCTGGCCTCAAACTCAGAAATCCACCTGCCTCTGCCTCCCCAGTGCTGGGATTAAAAGCGTGTGCCATCTGGCATAAAAGAAATAAGTCTTTAAAAAAAAATTAAAGTACACGATTTAGGAGAAGACATAACAGATTGCAAAAACAGATTAATAATGAATAAATGAGATAATCCATTTACAAGCTAGCAAAGGCACATAACAGTCCTTATCTATCAGCTAAGCAGACATTAACGTACGTGTGTGTGTGTGTGTGTGTGTGTGTGTGTGTGTGTGTGTGCAGATGAAACACAGTGCTCTGTATATGAAAGGTAGGTCTGCAGCACTGAGCTGCACCTCTGGTCCCTTACTGGTTAACTCTAGGAAAGCACTCACCATTGGGCTGCACTCCCAGCCCTGGCCACCTCTATTATTTCCCAGGTAGTGCTATTCCTTTCTCCCTTGCACTTCCTGCATGCTTGCCTTCTTTATGTCTGATGAAGTAGGCAACGACATCCCTGTCCTGGAGGAGCAGCCATCTTCATGTGAGGTAGGGTGTGAGAAAAACCAGCAAGCAAGCAATTCCATACACCACCTCATGGTGCAGTGGGGCAGGGTTAGCGGGCCGTGTGGTTGGCATGCACATAGTCCTGGTTCTGTCTTAGTGCTTCTCCATCTTCCCAAAGTCTAGATATGGTTGAGCACTATGCAGAAAGAGTAATGTAAGCGATTAGGGAGGGCTTGGAGGTTAAGAGCGATGGCATGGGAAGTGGATCTCTGATTCGAGACCAGTCTGGTCTACATAGTGAGTTCCAGGACACCCAGGGCTACATACACAGAAAAATCCTGTTGCAAAAAACAAAACATCGCAAAGCAAGAAAAGGTGAAAAGGGAGAGGCATTTTAAGTGTGGCAGATGGGAAAGTCTGCTGGGAGAAGGAATCGTTCCTAAGGAGTGGGCTTTCTCAGGAAGGAAGCCTGTACAAAGGCCCTGAGGCCAGCGAACCCAGCCATGGACCACACAGCAGGAGGAGAGGGAAGGGTGGGTCTCTGATAGGCTGTCCATCTTCTGACTCACTTCTGAAACAGAATGGATACTTGCTACAAAGAGGAGAGCAGTTTCTGTTTGGGGAGATGGTTAAAGTGCTAAACCCTGTGAGCAGAGAAGTGGGAGCCCTAAACAGGAAGAGAGACCTGTGCAAAGACAACGGCAGGTCAGAGGCAGGACAGCAGGCCTGGGCAAGGTCAGAGGCAGGACAGCAGACCTGGGCTGCCTCTGGATCCCAGGTATGAATTTTATCTTTATACTAGGTGGTATTGTTTTCTTCCGAGCCCCAGGGCTCTGTCTCACTGCTTCCTAGCTGTTTCACAAAATAAAATGCCTTGCTGGGTGTGGTGGCGAACACCTTTAATCCCGGCCCTTGGCCCTCGACCCTCGGCCCTCAGGAGATAGAGGCAGTCAAATCTCTGAGTTTGAGGCCAGCAAAGGTCTACAGATTTGTAGGACAGCTAAGTAGTGAAACCCTATCCTTAATGGCCACTCCAGCAGAGAATGTTGTCAACCTTAGGTCTCCAACCTTGGAGCTGTGGACAGACGCTTGGTTCAGCTAATTCAATGTGTGGAAAGCCTAACAAGGGAAGCTTTTAGAATGTCCACTGACAAGACGCCAGCTCTGATGAGATGGCTCAGCAGGTAAAGAGATCAACTCCTGAACGTTGTCTTCTGACCACTGCACGCATCACAACAGGAATTAAGTGGACTCATGTGGCACACGAACCTACGATGCACGCGCTGGCCTTGAATGTCTGACTGCGGGCCTCCTCCTTCCATGGGCACCATCCCAGCTGGCTCTAATTTTGTTTATTTTATATTTATTTTGATATGTATGAGTATTTTGCCTGAATTCATATATCCATACCACATGTATGTTTTGTGCCCAAAAAGGCCAAAAGAGACTCATGGATCCCTCAGAACTGGAGTTGGAGATGGTTATGAACCACCATGTGGGCCACGGGAACCAAACTGGGTCCTCGGCTAGTGCCCTTAACCAATGAACCCTCTCTCCAGCCCCTGTTTGTTTTTGAAACAGGGTCTCACTATGCCACCCTGACTGGTCTGGTACTCCTTATGTAGACCAGGCTGGTCTTGAACTCACAGAGATCCACCTGCTTCCTCTACGGCTCAATTGTTTAAGGTGTGCTTGTTAGGACAGGGTCTCACTATGCAGCCCTGGAGCCTGGGACTCATTGTGTGGCACATGTAGTCATTTAATTTGCAGAAAACTTTTTGCCCTGCCCCCTCCCACCCACCCCCCACCTCCCCCCAGTGCTGGGAGCACAGGTGTGAGCCACCACACCTCACTCCTTGTGTCTCTCAGCTGGGAGAACATTTTTGTCTTTGGTCCATCCCATGGGGTAGGACACATCAATATGCATTACCGATTTCCTCTCCTGCTTCAGCTCCTGAACGTAACGCATCAGGTCCACCGTGATCTGTGACGTCATGTTCTCGGAGATGACCTCGTGTTGCCCGGCGTAGTCGTTCATCTCATTCAGGGTGGAAAGAAACGCTTTACACGCCGTGTACCTGAGGGCAGATCACACCGGCTCCTTCTCAGACAAGCCCACCCCCACCCTCACATGATTTACTTGAGGAAATAGTAATTAAAATCAGTCTGCTCTGCATCTGCCTCCCAGAGGAACTTGCCGGTTCATTACACAACAGCTCAGAATTAATTACAACCCAAACCCAGCCACAGGTTCTCTGTGAAATGTAGCCTCTGCCTCTGTTTATTCTCAGACCAGAGATGGCCCCAAACCCACCCACCCGTGTCCATAAAGTACACCAGGCCCCTGGACCTACTACATCAAAGACGGTACTTCCACCACGCACAAGGAAGGACCCATCACTGCTGACTGAGACACACATGGCTCTTGGCTGGATGAGCAGGTGAAGTAGGGCTTCTGGTGATACAGAAGGGAGCCCAGACTCTAGGGCAGTGGTTCTCAATCTGTGGGTCGTGACCTCTTAGGGGGTTGTCAAAAGACCCTTTTACAGGGGTCACACATCAGATAGTCTGCATATCAGATATTTACATTACAATCCATAACAGTAGCAAAATATAGTTACAAAGTAGCAATGAAATTGTTTTATATTTGGGGGTCACCACAACAGGAGGAACTGCGTGAAAGGTCATAGCACTGGGAAGATTGAGAACCACTGCTCCAGGGCTTACCCCCAACACTGCCCGTGAATGCTTGCAAGACCTCCTACAAGTTTCCCTAATTAGTGTAATGGAAACAGTCTAGAGTGAGTCCAGTGGCCCAGGGTCCAGGTTCTCATTGTGTCCCCCAGGTTCATGGACAGACAGGAAGGTGGGATGGTACGTATATGACAAAATGCAGTTCTTTCCTGCCCCCTTCACAACACCAGCTACACACACATCTCAACACCCATGTGCCAGCAATGGACGTACTTGTACTCTTCTTCTTCCTTCGAGTTCTTCTTGGGTTGGTATTTCTTTGAAAGATTCCTAAGATGAAAATGAAGATGTATCACCTTATTTGGAAATACACAGAAGAATCAGGAATGACAGATGATGCATTCGCCTTAGTAGTTTTTTTTTTTTTTAAAGTCATAAAGTTGCACAATTAAAGCCCAATCGTGGGGCTCTTACCAGTGGGTAAGGGCAGCTTGCTGCCAAGCGTGATGGTCTGAGTTTGATTCCCCAGGATCCACATGGTGGAAGAAAAGAGCGGACTCCACAAAGTTGTGATGTCTGTACATTGTGGTATACACACACTCACACAAGTATCATATACAGTAATAAATAAAAAAATGTTTAAAAATCATGAGTCCAATAAATGACAGGTTATACATACACTTAAGCCTATAGACTACTCTTCTATAGAAGTGTGCATATGTACCAGACTTACCTAATAAACACATTTAAAAAGCAACATTTTCTGTACACGTTTGTTTTGGGGGGGGCAAAAAGGAGAAGGAGTTCATACTGAAAGACCCTCCATCTGTCTCTAGGAGGCAATGTAGGTCGGTCACTCCAGAGCCGTGTGTGTGTGTGTGTGTGTGTGTGTGTGTGTGTGTGTGTGTGTGTATAAGCGGGGTAAGCAGGGGTGTGTGTGTGTAAGCGGGGTAGGTAGGGCTGAGTTCAGCGACAGACTCTTCTGTGTAGGGGTGCAGTGAGCACTGAAGAGCCCGTGGCTGCCTTCCTGATATTTTTAGTGTGCAGTTTTAAATAGAAACCACTCTTTTTTTTAATCATAACTTATAAATTGGAAATTGCATTTCTAAGCTCACACCTCACATAAAAATTCTCAAACTGTGGTTTAAAAAAAAAAAACAACAACCCACAAACATTTGCCAGGTGGTGGTGGCCCAAGCCTTTAGGTGGATCTCTGTGAGTTTGAGGCTAGCCTGGTCTACAGATTGAGTTCTAGGACAGATAGGGCTACACAGAGAAACTCTGTCTCAAAACAACAACAACACCTCGAAGCAAGCAAACGAACAAAATTAAATCCACATTTTCTTTTTAGCTTCTAGCCCTGGACATAAAATAATTTAAACGTTAAATGGAATAGAAGGTAGCTGAGCCTGACTAGATGCGGGAAATGTTACTTTATAAGGGCTGGCAAGAAGGCTCTCTCAGTGGATAACTTGGTCTCTAGGCCAGGTAACATGAGTTTGATCCCCAGAACTAGTTCCCATAGGATGCCCTCTGATTAATTTAATTAATTAACTAATTAACTAATTAAAAATAAAATAAAATTTAAAGGCTTGTTCTGTGTGGTCCAGACAGGCCTAGAATTTGAGTTGATCCCCCTGCCTCAGTCTCCTGAGTGCTGGGATTATAGGCCTGTCCCATCATGTCCAGCTAAAAAAGGTACTATTCCTAGAATTCAGTATATAGTCAGGCTGGCCTCATATCCACAGAGATCTAATCGCTGGAACTAAAGATGTATGCTACCATGGCAACCACAGATGTCCTTTTACCATCAATTCCTAAACAAGATCCAAGACCTGTCATGGGGGATAGTCTGTTAAGTTCCTTTGTAGCCCTGGCTGGCCTGGAACACTTTACACCTGACCTAATGTAACCCAGGCTAGTCCCACACTCACAGAAATGCCCCCCACATCTTTGCCTTCCAAATTGCTGGGATTAAAAGCATGCGCCACCATGCTCCTGCCTCCCACTTTTTAGCAAAGTGTGTGGTCTGTGCTGTAGTCATACCCAAGCCCCCACAAACACACATAGAGACTTAGAGGCCAGCAAGAGTCCTCTTCTCTGACTCTGTGCCTTGTCTCCTTGAGGCAGAATCCGGGGCCAGGCTGGCAGCCAGCAAGCTCTGGTAACCTTCAAGTCTCCACTCCTTGCAGCTCAGAATTACTGACATAAATGGCCATGACCAGCTATTTCTGTGGGTGCTAGGGATTTGAACTTATATCCTTATGTTTGACCAACAGACACTCTTACCCACTGAGGCATCCCCAAAGCCCCGAGTCCAAGGTCCTTTCTCTATAAACCCTTCCCAGCCTCTTCCCCCAGGGACAGGATTTCTAGCCTTCTATTAAGCTTTTTTTCTTTTTCTTTGCTTCTTTCTTTGTTTCTTTTTTAAAACACATATGCAGGGAATCCCTCAGAACACCACCTTTACATTACATTTTTAGAATCTGCTAAGGAACCCAGTGTGTTTTCTATAGTCAACCAGCTCTTTGGGTAGAATAACAAGCAGAGAAGAGGAAAATATTGAGGCTGCTGGCTCAGATCTGGCTAACCCTGTGAACCGCAGGGGACTTTTACAGCAGATACTTGGGCCCTGAACCAGAATGTCTAGGGTGGAGCTTAGGAATGCTTGGATCTGTTCTTTTATTTTTCTGAACAGCTATCATGAGATATCTGAATCAGGGTGGTAGAAGGTGAAGGGTGCTCCTCCCGAAAACGGAAGGCATCAAATAGAAGGTGACCAGGAATCTGGCCAGAGCAAGTCCTGTAATCCCAGCTACTTATGAGGCTGAGGCTGTAGATCCGAAGTTCAAAGCCTGCCTGGACTATAGAGTCAGCTCAAAGCCAGCAGGTGCTTTTATGGCCTTAAAATACACACAGACACACACACAGACACACACAGACACACGAGAGAGAGAGAGAGAGAGAGAGAGAGAGAGAGAGAGAGAGAGAGAGAGAGAGAAGTTTGCATTATCAGACAATAAGGAAATGAAGCAGGATGCTCACCTCGGTCCCCACACCTTGGAAAGGTGTTTCTGGGAACAGCAGAGATGGAAGATGTTGGAGGTAACTCAGAATGCCGCTGATTCCACCCAGCTGGCCACATAAAGGTAAATAAGGCCACTGCCCTGAGTCAGTTCAGACAGAAGCAAACTGAACAGAGAGAGGACACATTCAGGGACAGGGGACCTGCCCTGACAATATCCACATTGTCTCTTCCCATCTGTGGACTCCGAGGACCTGGGCTTGTCTGTGGTCTCACTCCTCAGGTCTCAAGCTGTGCACATAAACCTAGGGTTTCCATGGAAGCATCCCTCTTCTCCTGAATAACCCTGCCCACAGCCCAAAACGCCTAGGAGTGTCGGGACAGACGATAGCTCGCAATCCCTAAGTTGGACCCTTCCTCAGCTGATTCTCAGAGGCAGCTGTGTCCAGCCTCCAGGAAGAGCAAACTCAACAGGTCAGCACCAGAAAGAACCAGAATAAAAAGACGGGAATATCGTAGGGGACAGTCACTTCCAGGGCCACTGGCACTCTCGATGAATGTGCTAGCATCACTGTGCAACAAGCATGCTGGGAGTCAGCCAGAAGACTTCCAGCCTCATCTCGTTTGGTCCTTGTGACCAGCAATCCTCATGGTCAACGTAACTAGATTTAGAATTAGTGTGGATGTATACCTCTCGGTGTGTCTGGGAAGGCTTTTCCAGAGAGGTTTATCTGAGGAGGGAGGATACACCCTGTGTGGGTCAGCACCATCCACGAGCTGGGGTCTCAGACTGAATAATGAGGAGGTAGTAAGTAGCATTCACCTCTTTGCTTCCTGACTACACTCACCATGGAAGCAGCTGCCTCAAGCTCCAGCCACCATGCCGACTGCGTCCCCCTAAAACTGTAAGCCAGAGCAAACCCTTCCTTGTTTAACATGCTGGTATTTGGTCAGCAGGGTGAGAAAGGTAACTCACCAACTTTAGAAGGCAGAACTTCTCACCACTCACATTTTACAGTTGTTCCCAGGGAACAATACTTCTCACCATTCACATTTTACAGTTGTTCCCAGGGAACAATACGCCCCAAATCACCCAGCTGTAAAGGGAAGCAGGCACAGGCTCACTCCCCCGCACGGAGGACCCAGGAGGTGAGCTCAGCCGATTCATCAAACTGCCCCAGGTCAAGCACACGCAATGTGAAAAGATTTGTCAAACACTGTCAGAAGTGAGTAAGGGAGATGAAGAGAAGGAGGGAAGACCCAGCCTGGAGAAAAATGAAAACACACAAGAAAAATAAACAACTCATCCCCACAAGAGTATTTCACATTACAGACGAACTGTATGGGACGGACAAGACCTGTAATGTCAGACTCAGGAAGTGAACTCTGGGTAAAAATCACAGCAGTGGCCACTGAATAAACACACCCAGCTTTATCTAATTTAACAAGAAAGGAGCAAGATAATCACAGTGCCAAAACTGGGACATAATTAAAGAGCATGTTCAGCATCCAGGCAGAGTGTGGATGCGTGGTCACACTACACGGATTTACTCAGAAAAGGCAAAGTTGCCCACAAGGAAATGTTCTGACTGGCTCCAGACTTTCCCAGAGAGTCTATTCAGCAGTCAAGTTTAAAGGAAAAAGGCATGACCAGCGGAAGAGTCCAGGCTCAGGCTCACAAGGCTTTTAGGCATCTGCCCTTGGAAGAACTTTGGAAATTTAATCAGAAGGAAATGGGGAGTTGCCAAGGAACTAATGTGGCTGCTTCATAGAAAGCCAGCAGACGGTGGGACAGCAAGCTGACTTAACTGGTAATGATCAGGGCAAGAGACATCAGTGTCCTGCACCCAGAGGTAGCATACAGCCAACAAGAAGTGGATGGACCCTGGGTCAGTATGTACAGTGGTGTGGATGGTGTGTCCTGATGGGTTGGTGAGGAGAGCCCTGGAGCTCCTGTCCTAAGGTGGGGAGGGTCACACATTCCCAGGAGAAGTGGAAAGGTCAGGGGTCAGGCAGGTGTGGAGGCTGGCATTGTTTAGAAATTCTTAGGAGTTTAGGTAAGCTGTTTCTAGAGTCTGGGAGAGGAACAGCTGGAGAGATTCGGCTGGGGTGAGTTATTGCTCCATCCACAGGAGCTAAAACCAGACACAGCTAGGGTCAAGGAGAAAGTGCAGACTGAGATGGGAAAGAAACAGGAACTGGACGCTGGATACAGCAGCACTGAGAGCAAGGATAAAATCTGTGAGGTGAGAGGAACCCAAGAGACTGTCATTTGGTCTCCAGGGGAGAAGGATGCTTCCTAGGAGGACAAAGGAGCGCTCTCAAATCCACTATAGTTACAGACAGACCTCCACGGTACCCAGACAGAGCAACAGGATCCAGCGAAAGAGAAACAAAGACACAAACCTACCCTGACCGTGACTAGGCTCGCTCTTTTGCTCTTGCTCCCTCTCTCCCTCTCCCTCTCCCTCTCCCTCTCCCTCTCTCTCTCTCTCTCTCTCTCTCTCTCTCTCTCTCTCCTTCCCTCCTCCCCTCCATCCCTCACTCCTTGGAGTCAGTTCTTTCTTTCCAACGACTCAGATTCACAGAGATCCACCTGGCTCTCAAGTGCTGAGCCATGAATGGCAACAGATCTGGACTAACGTGTGAAGTAACCATTTGCTAGTGAGACCCAGCCTCTTGCAGGGCTTGAGAAACAACTGATCTGGACCCAGCCAGCAGAGAACATACTTTCTTGGTTTCTGTAGCCCAGTTATGCAATGTAAACAAATGTGCCCTGCTGAGAACGGCCCATAGCTCACACTGAGATGCTTCTTTAAACAAAAGCAATCACAGCTCAGGATAACTTTGAACTTCTGATTCTCCTGACTCCACCATCAGGTGCTGAGATGTACCCCAAACATGTAGTGCTGGGGACGGAACCCAGCGCTCCATGTGACTTAGACAGGCCGGCTCCCAGCTAACCCACACCCCCAGCCCTGTATCAACAACTTAAAAATATCTCATGTCCCAAACCAAGTTCTCAGATAATCTTAAAGGGTAGGGAAAGCACATGCACTTCCTGCCAGGACAGGGAATATTATACAGACGCTTGTCCCATTCCTTTCAAACAGCTGCCTTCGAGGAACTAAAATGTCCCAAGGAATTCCATGCTGGGGCTAAAAGAGCAAAAGCTGGGCTGGACGAGGCCAGCAAATTGGCTCAGTGGGTAATGGTGCTAAGTCTGGTGACCCAAGTTTGAACCCTGGAACATGCATAAAGGTGGAAGGAGAAAACCGACTCTACAGAGTTGTCTTTGACCTCTGATTTGTGGTGTGGCATGTGCACGCATACATAAACCCACACATATACACATCCCAAACCCACCACTCTACACGCATACCACACACTCATGCACACACATACACCATACACACTATACACACACCACATACACATCACACACACATACATTCCACATGCTGCACACTACATATACACACACACAAACACTTCCTCCACTCCCCATATACACTTCACACAAACACTTCACACATACATATATTCTGTACCCCCATACACACTTCACAAATACAAAACACACACTCCTCATACACACTTCACACACACACACCACACACAAACACTTCATACATATACATACTCCATACACACCCCATACACACTTTACACATACAAAACACACACATACACATATACTTCCCATAAACACATACTCCACACACATCCCATACACACCACACACACCTATACACACACTAATGGCATTGTGATGATGCAAACTTCTGACAACTTACCATCATCATGCAGGACACACTAGTGTCACATCACAGACCAGTGAGGAATCAAGACTGCCTAGCCTGTACACCTCGCTTTATATTTAAATAACCTCTCAGGACCCAAGGACAGACTTGGGAGGCCTCTATATCTCTTCCCAATGTGGCTACACTGAGTGAATCTCCTTTCTCTGCTTTTTACTTCAACTTCTCTCTTTAGTGGGTGTGTTGGGAACAAGTGCCTGGAATTAGCTAAAATCTCCTTTAGAACAGTTCTTTTCAAATTCTGCTCCCTGGGACCACTCCCACTGCAAACACTAACTAGTTCCGGTCTTATTAAAGCCAGGCGGAGTTTTACTCTGTGATCACAGTCCTGATCCTACAACGACGGAAGAAAGGGGCTCAGATATGCACTAGTGAGGGTGTGCTGGGCTGGCGAGATGGCTCAGTAAATAAAGACAGTGCCAAGCCTGACGAGGACCTGAGTTCAATCCCGGAGCCCGAATGGTGGAAGGAACCAATTCCCGGGAGTGGCCTCTGACCTCATATGATGTAGCAGTAGCATGTCCACCTCCTCCACACACAAGGTAAATAAACAATGTAATTAAAAATTTAAAAGAAAAAAAAAAAGGACCAGCAAGAATGGGAACATCCAGCTTCGTAGTGACAGCAGACCAGAGAAGCCTTGGAGACCCACACAACAAAACAATAAACAGCAATGAAAATATACCCAAATGACCACAGTGCGGACGAAGCTCACAACCAATGGAGAGCAAAGGAAGTCAGACTCTTAAAGGATTACAGACAGGGCTCACATCCGAGGGAAATGCACAGCAGGCTCTGTGGAGCCAAGCCACTTGGCAGGATCGAGGCTCCTGGGGAGGCCAGGCCAATTGAGAGCCCTATATGTGGGGGTCCCCTACAAATGCGTATTTCAACGTGAAATTTACTGGTAGCCAAGTGTCTCCAATTTTTTTTGTTTGTTTGTTTGTTTTTGTTTTTCGAGACAGGGTTTCTCTGTGTAGCCTGGCTGTCCTGGAACTCACTCTGTAGACCAGGCTGGCCTCAAACTCAGAAATCCGCCTGCCTCGGCCTCCCAAGTGCTGGGATTAAAGGCGTGTGCCACCACCGCCTGGCTCCAAAATTTAAAAAAAAAAAAATCATGAAAAGAAAACAAAAACAGGGATGGAGAGATGGCTCAATGGTTAAGAGCACTGGCTATTTTTCCAGACTACCTAGGTTCAAATCCCAGAACCCACATGGCAGCTCACAACTGTCTAATCTAGTTCCAGGGGATCTGACACTCTCACATACATAGGCAGATAACCAATGTAAATAAAATAAAAAAAATTAAAAATGAACAACAACAAAAAAACCAAAACCCTGAGCCTAGAGGCTAGGTGCAGAGGGTGGGGCGAGGGTAGGGATTACCCAGAGGCACAAGACCCGGGTGTCACTGGGGAGTGCCGCCAAATAAACCAGAACACAGCACAGCAAAAGAAAACACAACAAAACACCTAAAAGAACTCAGTACCTAAAAGCAGGGACTGAGTCCAGAGAGATGGCACACATCTGTAATCCCAGCACTCAGGAGGTGGAGGCAGGGGAGGCAGGAGCTCAAGGCCAGCCTCCACTACATAGGGAGTTCAAGACCTTGCGTCAGACATGAAAATCGAACAAACCTAAGTTAACAGCCTTTTTTTTTTTTTTAAAGTTTTGCTCTCATAAAAATTAATTTTCTATATTAAAAACAGCTATTTCCAATGACATATTACTTTATAAGAAAAGATCTCTGTCTCTTTCTCTCTGTCTCTGTCTCTGACACACACACACACACACACACACACACACACACACCACACACAGTGAAATGAGAACAGAAACTGTTCTTGCTTCTGGCAGGCAAGATGGGGGTGGGGGTGGGGGGCTTGCTGCCAAGCTTGATGGTCTGAGTTCAATTCCCAGGACTCACTCACACCATAGAAGGAGAGAAAACGAACTCCTTGGGTTGTATTCCAACTCCACACAAGCACCCCGGCACACACTCCACTGCCCTATAAATAAATAAATGTAATAAGAATCTTAATAAAAAGAGAAATAAACCCTTTGTGTGTGCGGCACCCCAGCCGGCTCTCCGGGCTGCCTTACCTGAGTTGCTTGGCATAGCTGAGCTCAATCTCTGTCCTCTCCTTGACAAACTTGATATATTTCTCAAGAATATCGATTCCCCACTGTGTATGTTTTTCCAAGTTGTCAAACTGATCCTGTTTGAAAAAAGAGAGAGGGAAGTTTATTGTCTCTTTCTATGGCTTCCAGTTCCAGGGAGCCACCCTCTCCATCACTCACTGGTCCAAGACAGCAGCTCTAGCATTTTCCATGATGACACTGAGGATGGGGGTGTCTGTTCAGAGCTTTACATCAACATTACCAAATTTGGTTTGCGCATGGTCCAGAGTTAACATCCCTGCCCTCTCCTCCTCTTAGACACACTGCTTCTTATATATAATTAATGTTCCATTACAAAGGAAAATGTCTCAGATGCTGACAGGTGAGGCACGCACGCACACGCACGCACACACACACACACACACACACACACACACACACACACACACGAGCACTCTAGGGAAGAAGAGAAGGCTCAGTAGTTAAGAGCACTTGCTGCTCTTGCAGAGGGCCAGAGTTTGCTTCCCAGCACCCATGTCAGGCAGCCCATAGGTTTAACACTAGCTCCTGGATATCAGAAACCCTTCCTAGACTCCTTAAGTACCCTCAGGCACATGTGCGCACACATACTCAATAAAATAAAAAATAATTTCCTATATTTGTTTTACGTACGTGGGTGCTTTGCCTGTGTATACATAAGTGTACCAAGTGTGTGACTGGTGCCAGTGCAAACCAGAAGAAGGTCTCAGGTCCCTGGATCCATAGCTAATGAACTGTCATATGGGTGCTGGGAACTGAACCCTGCTCCTCTGGAAAAGCAGCCAGTGCTTTTAACTGCTGGGCTATCTCTCTAGTTTTCCTCTCTCCTTTTTTTGTTGAGACAGGGTCTCACTATGTAGTCTTGGCTGGCTTGGAACTTGATATGTGACCAGAGGCTTGGAACTCACAGAGATCCTCCTGCTTTCGCCTCAGGGATGCTGGACTTAATGACAGGTACCCCACCCTGCATCTTTTTTTTTTTTTTAAAAAAAGATTTTATTTATTTATTTTATACATACATGTGCTCTCTTTGTATACATGCCTGTGTGCCAGCAGGTCCCATCACAGATGGCTGTGAGCCACCAGGTGGTTACTAGGAATTGAACTCAGGACCTTGAGAAGAGCAGACAGTGCTCTTAACTGCTGAGACATCTCTCCAGCCCCCCCCCCTTTTCTAAAGAACCAGCTGCTTGAATTTGGAGAGTGGAAAGGGTAGGGGTACAGTTATCACTTTTGCTTTTCTTCAAGTGAGTAAAATAGATCAGCATAGACTTTGCTACACTGTGTCCCACAAACAAAAAGACAATGGGACCCAGGGAACCAAAACTGAGCAGGGCTAGACTACACCTTGTGCAGAGGCTGGGTGTTTCTGCTTTGAAGAGGGAGATAGGTAGGTGTGCCAGCCAGTGCAGATGCCTGGTTGTGGAGACAGCTGGGAGTCACATGGGTTTGTTCCCTTGAGTGCAGGTGAGAGCACCAGGGAATGGGCAGGGGTGATGAAACTGGAGAGAGAGTAGGATCGGATTATCCAAGGCCTTCAATACACAGAGAAGGAGCTTGGACCCTCGAGAAAGCACAGGCTGCTCTTACAAGAGCATGACCACAGATCTGCTTGGAATCATGGGAGACCGAGGCCTGGAGACTGTCCTAACAGTCTGAAATGAGAGCAGGAGGAGGACGCCATTCTGACACTTGGCAAATGCTACTGTAAGTGACAGATTGGGCTGCAGAGTCTGAGGGAGCTGTGAGCAAGGGGGAAGGGCTCCAGGGTGAGCTCGGGTCTGCTTCCTGCACGTAAAGAAATAGTCCACACAGGGGAGGAAGACTCCGTGCAGCTTGCAGCTTGGCCATGTGAATAAAGGGTTTGGTATGCACAGCAGAGCCTGCAAGCACAGATGGACTGAGCTCACAGGAGGATGTCGGGAAGTGGATGGGTCTGAAGCTACAGATCCGAGTGCCAGGGGATGGGTAGCTCTACAGGAACAGCAGGGAGGACTGGCCCAGGAAGTGGAGCCAGAGAGCGGTGGAACAGAGCCAGAGAATGCATTAGAGCATCCCAGGAAGAGTTTCGAGCCAGGTCAGATGGGAGGCACGCTGCTGCCTCAGAGGGAACCTCAGGAGAGTGAGGGTCTGGCCAGCTCCAGGACTTCACTGACACAGGCCGCCAACCGTCTCAACGGCTCTGCTAGGCATCTCTAGCATGCCCAGGAACCCCTGGCTTGTTTTTCTAAAACATGCAAGGTCGTAAGACATGCAATCTATAGCTGGCACGCTTCAGGCATTCTTTCCAGCCCCATCCCTGAGCTAGGACTGCCATTGGCACAGCACTGGAGCTGTAGATCAGTTGGTAGAGTGCTTGCTTAGTGCACAGACAGCCCTGGGTTCCATCGCTAACCCCTCATGAACTGTGTGTGGCCCCCAGCCCTATCAATTCAGCACTCAGAAAGTAGAGGCAGGAGGATCAGAAGCTTAAGGTCCTCCTCAGCTATATAGCAAAATTGAAAACAGCCTGGTCTACGTAAGACACCATGGTGAGCTCAGACAGCTCAATGGTTAGCTCGGATACAGCTCTTGCAGAACAGGAGTTCTGTTCGCAGTATCCACTTTCTTTGTCCTGTGTAACTCCAACTCCAGGGGATCTTAGGTTTCTGACTTCCACAGACACTTATGTGGTCAAATCTGCACTCAGGAACATATTTCAATTATTACATACAAGTAATAATTAAAAATAAAATCGTCTACCAGGGGTGTGGTGGTATACACTTTTAATCCCAGCACTTGGGAGGCAGAGGCAGGCGGATTTCTGAGTTCGAGGCCAGCCTGGTCTTCAGAGGAGGTTCCAGGACAGCCAGGGCTACACAGAGAAACCCTGTCTCAAGCCACTGTCCTCAAATAAAATAAAGTAAAATTTTCTTTTTAAAGAGGCTGCCCACAGTGATGCATACACTTATAATCCCACCTCTCAGGAAGCTGAGGCAGGAGAATTACATGAACCCAGGATTTCAAGGCCAGCCTGAGCAATATAGTGAGACTCTGTCAACAGCAATAAAAGCTATACACACTTAACATATATAACGTGAAATCTCCGAAGGTAAGTGTGCACCCATGAGACCAATCATCAGCACATCTACCCCACACATACATACCCACCCCTTCTAAAAGCTTCCTCTTGTCTTGATTCCTTGTGTGTGATTCAACCTCTTTCAAACACAACCCAGCATTGTTGGATGCTGGAGCTGAGTTGTGCTTTCAGCTCGATTCTGCATCAGCCTTGAGTCAATCAGAGTCATGTGTCCTAATTTCCTTCCTGTGGCTGTGATAAAACACCCTGACTAGAGACAACGGAGAGGAGAAAGTGTAGGCTTCAGCTTACTCTCCGGCTCATAACCCATTATTGAAAGAAGTCAAGGCAGGAATTAAAGGAGAAACTCTAACAGAGGCCACGGAGGAATGCTGCTTGCCAGCTTGTTCAGAGACTCATGCTTAGCTAGCTTTCTTATGTGGCCCAGGACCACTTGCCTAGGGAATGGTGCTACCCACAGTGGGCTGCACCTTCCCGAATCAACTAACAATCAAAGCAAGCACCCATAATCATGCCCACAAACCAATCTGGTGTGGGCATTCCCTCAATTGAGACTCTTTTCTCAGGTGACACTGTCAAGTCGACAGCTAATGCCGAGATTACTGGCTTATGGTCACTATGTCTATCTTAAATGCTTCCAGCCAGGAGCAGAGAACAAAGAAGTGTCAACTTAGGACACATGGAGTCTTATGCCACTAAAATGACCTGAAGACCCCTGTGAAAAAAATGTTTATCTTTCAACCAGACTTTTAAAATGTTGTCATAAAACTAGAGATGAAGATTTAAAATTCTCATCACTTTTTTGTCCTCGACCCACCCCCCACACCTCCCTGATTCCATCGTAAGAAACACTGCTCAGATTATTTATTTATGTTATCTCTACAGAAGAGGTGTGTTGAGCAAATGAGCAGGGTAAACAAGACGGCAGGTTTCTGTAAACAACCAGAAAAGGCAAATACACAAGAAACTCAAGTGATGGTTATGAATGGGCAGCTCCCAGCACTCAGGCTAGGACTTCCCACAAGTGCTCCGTTGGTCAGTGACCCTTTCTTGGTCTAGTTTCATATTGACCAGATTTACTGAAGAATCATAGCTGGGGGTAATGGCTCTGTGGTTAACACACTTGCCTTGAAAGCATGAACACCCATGTCCGGCCCACAACGCCCACGTCCAAGTGCCCAGTGCTGGGTAGGTAGAGACAGAGAGGTCCCTGGGGCTCATTAGCCAGCCTAGTCACCCTGTATCTAAAGAGATGTATAGGTGGTGTTTCTGAAGATAACAGCTGAGGTTGACCTCTGGCCACCACAAGCACATTCACACACATGTATGCACGCATGCATACACACACACACACACACACACCATGTATATATATACACATCCCTCCGATATGCTATATCCTCTGTCTGTCTGTCTGTCTGTCCTTATATCTATATGTATATATTGATGTATATCAAGAGCTGGGGCTGGAGCTCAGTAGAAAAGGTCAAGTTCAAGGTTGCAGCCTTACAGTGAGAACCAGACAACTTCCCCCCTCCCAGCCCGCCCCCCCCCTTGCGTTTTCTCTACAGAGCCATTACCTCCAAAAGCTCTCCACAGCTTCTGCTCTTGGATTTCACTGTCTCACTGACAATCTCCCTGATACACCTGCCTGATACTCTGTAGCAAGGTTGGATAGCCTTAAGTTCTTCCAAACAAACAACAACGACAACAAAAACCTGTGCAGAGGAACCGACTCCCCTTTAAAGTTCACTGACCAGTAATATGTTTTCATTGGCTTTAGTTCTGAGACAGGGTGGTATGTAGCCCAGGCTGGCCTCAAACTCCCTATGTAGCCAAAATGACCCTGAACTTCTGCTCTTCCTGCCTCTATCGCCCACACAATGGAATTACAGGCATGCAGCACCAAGCTAGTACCAGCATCAAACCAAAGGCTCTGTGAATGCTAGGCAAGCACTATATTAGCTGAGCTACACC